TTACTTCTAGATCAGACTTACCGCCTTTGACTGCAAACACAGCATATAATTTTGATCCTGCTTTCTATGGGAACAGTAGACCAGACAGCTATTAGTGAACGCAACAGATGTTTCCCATATTTAATGGCAACAAAAGGTGTTCAGGCAGGACAAGTATTAGCATAATTTACGAAACCACTTGGAACAGAAGTAATTCCAACTAGGCAAGTAAACTAATCATGAAACTACTTACTATTTCCAGCTATGATATTCCTGCTCTTAGAGTGATTTTATCAAAAACATAAGTAGCTTGCACAGATTTTTTTTTGAAATTATCAAGCACTTCAGCTGTTGCTCAGTGTTACTTTATATTGTAATTCAAGCTCTTACAGCTATTCATCCAGGAAAAAAAAAAATCATTAACTGTCCTTAACATTTTATTTTTCTGAAGTTCAATTTCAGTTACGAGACAAGAGGTCTGACAATGACAGTGATTTCTCAGTGCCCGATGACAAAGCCAAGTCCTTCGGGCAAGATGCAAATGACAGCATGCTTAACTTCATGTCTCCTGGTTGGTTCCTAAGTTATATAAACCACAGAATATAACTGCAAAAAGGTTAGAATGCCTTCGAATACAGTTGTCTCCAATGCCATCACAGCTGTTTGTGAATCCCTAAGCCTGATGGTGGCTGTATAGGCCAAGCAGAGTGGAAGAAAAGACCTTAAAACTTCTAAAACCACAAGAAGTCCAAGAAATCCTTAGAGTAGGTTACTATTATCTTAGGTCAGCTAATGCCAAAAACAGGAGAAAGACAAACTGGAGAAATTACTGACCCATAAGACCGTAAGACTAGCTCGTTCCAAGTGATCTTTCCACCTAGAAACATGTCTCTAACCACAATTATCGGAGAAGGTACAGGCAACAACACACAACATAGCAAGGCTCAATCAGCCCTTCCCCAAGTACACCTCCTCCAGCTCCCGGCATCAACATGAGGCTTTGGGGCTTTCTTAGGTTACACGTATACATGGATACAACTTTTGAGAGTTTTTTCTCCCATTACTGTCTAAGGTTTGGGTTTTCCTTGGGTTTTGTTTTGTTTTTTTAAAGCTTATACATATTTGACTTTTGCAACACTAGGTGGCAACAAGTTCAACATCTGAACATATCGTGCATAAAAAAATAGCACCTCTTTTTGAAATTAGATGATTCCAAGTTACTGGAGCACATATGAGCATCTGTGCTTGAGAAAACCAGAATGTTTTCCTTCTGTCTTTTTAATGCAAAACCCCTATTAAACATGTACTCTACCCCTTTATTTTTTCCCAACCTGAAGTATTGACTTCATATTGACCATTCCTTTTCACTACTGTTACTTTTCTAATCCTCCCTTAACATGTTTTGGTAGGAAGTGGACACAAGCATGGGTCAGGCCAGACTTCACGCAGTACTCAATATCTACTTACTACCACTACAAAGAAACAACGTTAGTGAAATTATTTCTTGAGGCCATTCTCCCTTCCAAATTACTTATTACCCAGATCTATAGCAGGAGGGAAGTTCCTTGATACTTACTTTTTTTTTTTTTTTAAGATACAGTATGAAATAGCATGCAAAAATTCAACAGAAGCAATTGCTCTAAACATGCATTTTACTTGTCTAGATATAAATAAGTACTAAAAAGGTGATTAAACCCTCTGAAGAACATTTTCTTAGGAAAGTATACATAGTTGCAAGCTGTCTAATGCAGTTTGACGAAACTACTATTCTATTCTTAAAAGATTCACCTGGCAGGTTGCAGAAGTGTTATGTGAAACTTCAATTCTAAACATTGCAACTGAGCATAGCTTTGAGTCAACACATTAAAATGCACAGGGAGACTGATACTATTCCAAAAGATTCAGTAGCTTCCACCTCGCAAAAAGCGGGCTTTTACTTGGCACAACCTGCAGCTTATATCAGCATTTAAATAAAAGACCTCATGTAAAGACTACCTACAAATATTACAATGGCAATGCTAACACAAGTGATTAATTACACAACTAGTTACAGACTTAATATTCCTTATTTTGCTGTGAACTGGAAGCTGTCCTCTTTAACAACCTGGAAACAAACTAATACAAGAATTCAATGCAAGGCATGAAAGAATGCCAGGAACATATCATATATGGTTTTTAATTGCTTGCTTTGTTTACAAGAACGGAATAAAGCACTATGCTTCTGTTTCTCAAGAACAGTGCCAAGGAATTTAGGTGGTTTATTCAGCAAGCATGTTTGTTTGACACTGGAGCAAAAAGCATATGCTACTTTGCCAAGCAACATAAGTTCTGGAGTTATACATCCATCATTTGCATCAGATTCTTTCAGACTCAAACTTCTAGTAGAATGGTACTCTTTCCTCTTAAAGACATGATGCACCCTGGAAATGCTGAAAGGCAGCACTGGAGAAACACATTAATGAGATTCTTATGAAAATGATACTCTTGCCTTACCTTGGTAGCTCAGAAAGTCATAAAAGCAGATTTATGGGAGAATACTTACAGCCTTTTAATAGTGCCAAAAAGTTTTTATGAAATAAGACGGGAACAGTTATTGAACAGACTACAAACACTACGGTTCCTGCTCGCTGTATGTTGTATGTTACTGTCAGATATTTTCTATCTCATTCTTTTTTAGTTTTGGAGCCAGACACTAGCGATAAGTTCTCACCAGAGCCTCCTACTTCTTTTATAGACTCTAATTGCAATAGAATAGTAATAACAGCACACAGAATGGAATACTTCGACTAAAACTTTGAGACTTAGTGGCCCAGATCAGCCAAGTAAACAAATCTGAAGTGCACAAAGTATTTCCAAACAGAACTTGAAAGGTGTTCGTATTATTTATGCAGAAAAAAGCTCTGAAAATAAAGCGGCTTATAATAAGGGCTTTAAAAAAATACAGCACAGCAACGTGAATGATGATTAAGTAATATTTCTATGTAGCAGAACATTCAAATCAAACATATACTTAAACTATTTGAGTGAAAAACATCAGCTAATCCTCCGATGCACAATTTCTAGAAGCTCTTAACATGGATGTCAGAGAAGTAAACTTGTAGTCCAGAAAAAAGTATGAAGCCAAGAAAAATGTTTAACTTAATAACCACAATGCCATGTATTATAATAAAGACTGAATATGGCGAAAGCCTCACTGTAATTATTCAATAGTTCACATTGGAGTTAGAAAAGCTGTTTAAGAACAAGTTACTGAAATAAAGAATTTTAATAATACATATTAATTGTTCAATTCAGTTAGGAGCAGACAAGTAACATGAGCTATTAGTTTAGAAAGAAAACTACTAGTAAAGACATTTGAGCTTTTCTATAGCAACTGAAGTCCTTTGGGAGTTTGTAGGACTGACTCTCCAATACCTGGGAAGAGAATATCTCAGGCAGGAGCTAATCCTGAAGAAAATCTTGCAGAACACAGGTAAACGGCCCAATAGGGACTAATATACTTAGCTAAACTCTCCCTTTTTCAGAAATGTATTGCGAAATAAAGTATTAAGTCATGAGGGCTTGGAAAGCTACAGTCTGTAGGACTAGACCTTCCAATCTGTCTCAGACAACAGGAAATTGGTTTAATCTTTATACACCCACACACAGGCAGTTCTATTCCTCAGAAATTTCTTTTCCAGATATAAATGTTCTAGTTTGCTACCCTCCTGAAAGTCATGCACAGGAAGGAGGATGATCACATGCTTAGAGCTCTGAAGTGAAGCAAAACAGACTGATATTCTATTAAATTACTCAGGGAGTGTTTGGACAAGTTATTAAAGTGGTATCAAAACTCATTTGCAAGACAGCGATTGTAGTCCATATTTCATCATGTCTAAACAGCAAGATCGCAGTGATAGTTTTAACTCTGAGGGGAAATTCCCTGTCCAGTCCTGCTCAAAGTCACTGAACTTCAAACAGGCACTTCTAAAGACCCAAATTCTCTCAACTAGGCACAGCATGAAAAGACCCTTTCATCTGGACCGGGACTATTAGGAAATACCGTTAAATGCTTTCACTATATACCTGCACAGCAAAAAGTTACAGTCTTCGTGACAATAGATAGCTATTTTCCACAAATTCATTCCCCTCAGCCACAAAGAGCATTTCCCTTGCTCCTTTCTCAAGTCTTGCCTGTGAACTTTAAAAAAATAATAATAATAATAATAACTGGTGCCACAAGCCTGACTTTTCAGCCCACAGTACGCACGCAGAATGAGAGTGGAACAGCTGTCTTCCCACAGCTGGTCAGTGTTGCATTCCTCTGAGTTCTGTGGTTGCAGACTGCAAAGTGAAGCTTAACCAATAATTGCCATTATTTTCACATTAGAGCATGCAGGTGCAATGACAGTGGGAAAATTGGCAAAGGGCCAAAAGGCTGGGGAAGGCATTCAGAGAGTGGATTTAAGGACAAGAAGATAGTTTCCTAGTAGCACAATAGCCTAGCTACATGTTAAAGGACAAAATGGTCTTATACATCAATTTAACATTCAATGAAGAGTTTTTGCCTCTTGTCCTAGTAGCTGATTTACATTACTCTTGTTTAATTGGTTAAAATCCCCTACACTAAGAAAGCTATTTATTTTGTCATGTTTATCAACCACTGCGGCCGCACTGGCGGTAACTCCTCAGTGAAGGCTACATTGGTTTCTCGTTTCTGCAGTTTATTCCCACAAGTAGCTACACATAAAAGGCAAGTTTTCCAAGCGGCAGCCATAACTTACCTTTACAACACACTGTTTACATTTTTATATCATTATTACAAGTCTACTCAATAGCGTATGTCTGCAAACAGACCTAAAATTAGACCAGAAACTGCCATCCTACAACTACTAAAGACAGTAACACTTAACTTCAAAATCCGTATCACTTAAGACTACCCAAAACTAGTAGTCTGGGAGAAGGGAGAGATTGTTTGCGTGGGTTTCTTTTTTTGCTTGTTTTTAAAAGAAAGTGCCTAAGCACCTCTATAGCATACTTACTCTCGCTCCTTCTCTGTCAGTTTGTCATTGATATTATCTTTGATTGTAGACCTGGAGCCCTTGTGAATTATGGGATACCTGAGTGGCACTTGTAAGAAGTACGATATCATTGAAACCAAATGAGCGGTGTAGCCCAGGGCAACAGCAATGCTTCCGTCATCTTTTGCTGTCAATAATAAAAAAATCCATTATGTAACCAACTGAATCTCAATGAAAACTCAAAAGTTCATGCTTATTGCACAATGAAAACATGACAAAGCTAATGAAGCTATCACAGCTTATAGCCTAACAGACTTAAATCTGAAACAATTTAAATTGCTTTACGATTGTTTGCTAACCACCATTTCCATCTTACGTTAAAAGGCAACACAAAACAGGTGATGGCCAAGTCCTTCTTCCAGTTTTACACTTCCAAAGTTAGAAGTTACTCTTCTCAAAGTTTGGTGGGCAGGAAAGGGGAAGAAGAGAGGGGAGAAGTGAAAGAACATTTCTAAGCCAAAATTCAAGTCTTAAGCTTTCTGCATTTCTCTAGATGTAGCTGACAAATTGCTGAAGTCAGAAAAGCTGCATTCCTTCATAACTTTATATATTAGGGAGAGTCAGGGGACAACCAACTAAACTGAGGTCCTCTTTCAGGAAGCATTTAATGACGCTTTAACATCTATGAAACCATAGCAAGCTCTAGAACAAGATATGGTATATGGATTTGAAAATGGCACCCTTTTCTTTTCTACCCATCTAAAAGGCTGTTCCAGTAAAAGATGTTTCACATCTGCACCACAAACTTGTTCTTCAAAGAACAGTATTTGATACTGCAGATGCTTGATTTTTTTAGTATCGTTCTCTAACAGTCTGAAGTCAGATAACTGCTGTTCAAGTTTCACTCCATATTTCACTGAATTGAATGCTAAGTCTTTCCTTCCTGTATTTCTAAAGACTCTAAAGAATTAATAATTCTTTTAAAATCACTTAACAGCAGTAAACTGCCACTGCAGCAAAATATGCACGTTCAAGAACTACAAAATTGAGTTCATTGTCAGACTTACTACAATCAGTAAAACAATGCAATAAACTGACCTTTGTCATACTGTCAAATTAATTCATGTTAAAGTGCATGCGTTCATTATTCCAGCATTCAATATACATAATTAGCTTATGCTAACAACATGAGGATTTGGTTTTTTTTTTTTTTTTTTTTTAAAAAAAACACACATACACACGAGTTGGATATTTCACTATGGGTTTTTGCTTGAGAAACCACATGCCTGGCAGACGGAACAACTACTGAGAGCAAGACATTCACAAGCGGATTTTAATGAGTTTCCAATTCATGTAAAAACATTTGTAGATAAACGCATGCGTGCAGTTACCTGTACAACTGTTACACAGGCATGCATACGTATGTGCTTCTGCAACAGGATGATGTAGACAGTTACAGTAGAAGCTGACTTGTGAAATATTGCCATATCAAGGTAGGAATTACTGTGAGGTAGCTTTAAAGTCATATTTATGCAAGCTACTTATTTGGTAAGTTTACAAGCAACTACAGCAAACTACATGGCAATCCTTGCACGTCACCTGATCAAGATCTAGGCAACCTTTTTTACTATATAATCTCAAAATACAGAGGTACTTCTGTAAAAATCAACAGGGAGTTCCTTTGTGCTACCTAGTAACTAAGAATAAATAATGTCAAAGTTATCTTCCAGTCTAAATCTTTTCCAATCATAAATTTGCATCCTAAGCTATTGCCCCGTTTACTTAAACAAGTTTACATCAGTGTCAACTGTAAGCATTAGATTAAGAATATCCAGATACCTTGAAAGTCTTCAGAATTGGGAAGCTTTACTCCACAAACAAAGTAATCCTTTTGATCATTCTGTAAATTTAAAAATCAACAGCAGAAAATGAGACTGGGACAACAATTTCCAGACAACAGAAACTTGCACAAAACCCTATGACAACAAAGCAAGCATTTTTGTTAAGCAGGACTAAATATTCAATGAAATCCAGAGTGACATTGAGATTGTGTTTTATTCTACATTTAATTCAGAAATAAATTCTGAAATAGTAATAATATAGAAATATATAATTTTTTTTAAAAAGGAAGAGCTTCATTTTAATCAGCTCCTTATACAAAGGGTTTAGGAGCTCCATCTTTTGACAAATGTTTCTGTGTAATCTTCTGAAGTTTAGCTAATGGACTGTCAGCTTTACTTTAAATAATTACATATGAAATACCAAGCATCCGTCAAGTTGTAGCTATATACACACACATTCTATGCTTATAACGGAGACTGAGAGGTACTAGTATAAACCTCATAAGGTGCGAACCAAGTACCACATCCAAGAAAGATGGAAAAACGGCATGAGTAGAGAACATGTTTCATCAGGAAGAGAACAGACATTTGCTGTAAGTGTAAGAAACAGAAAATTCCTTTCTTGAGGCTGTTTGGAAAATCTGAAACATACCAAATCAATAGGGTAGATATAGGATAGCTCCGACAGTAATTGCTTGCATCGAATAGTCAGCTGGGCATTCGTCTTCAAAAACAGTTCTCTTCAGGGAAAAGAGAACCCAAAAACATTAGTTTCTTCAAAGCTTCAAGTAAACGTATCAAACCCTTGCAATCCTTCCGCATCTTTCCAAATATCATTTACCCTCCCTTAAGACAGTTAGGTAATTTCACAAGGATAATTACAGAAGACACAGCTATTTTTTCATTTTTGGTTGGTTGCATCTCATACTATAGGCATATTTTGACTAAAACAATTAAGTATCGCAAAGCAGTGATCCACAAAACAGAAGTCCTGTCACAGTCTACAGGTGCAACAGAGCATCTGTTTTCTTCTCTTCCAGCCTTACCATCGTTAATTCCCACTTTAGACATCAATAAATTATAGGAGAGATTTCTTAACAGTAGTTTTAGGGTGACAATATGGAGAACTTGGTGCAACACAAGTCCCATCCAAATGCCTTATTTATAAGGCTATATTTCCTTCCCAGTCACAGACAAGTGGAAAAATCATGGATCCTTTTACCTCTTAGCAGTGCATTCCTTTTTTAATTCATGCAGGGATTCATTATGCTCTTGAAGCTTCTGGTATTCCGTCTCAAATGCATTTTCTATACAATATAAGGAGTCAGACCAAAAAAAGGCAATATCAAGTATTTTCTTAATTATCTGACATTCCAAAAGCAAATACTGACATACATTTTCGCACTAATCCTCCAACTACTCTTAGATGCCCCTTTTCCATGCTATGCTGCCAAACTGAGAAATAACAGCGCAGAAGAAACATCCATCCTCGTGCGCTATACACCGTTCACCAGCCAAATGCAACCAACAAAACCTCATTCTCCTTTAACACTTGCGCCCCTCATGTGTCTAGTAGTAGAGTAATTAAGTAACTCAAGTTAAGGTAACTCAAATAACTGCACAGCTAGAATCAAATAAATAGCAAACACTTCATCTTTAGTAACAATTATGTATTTTGGATTCAGCTGGGATATTCAAAAACATCCTGCAACAAGATCAAACACCTGCACAGCTCTGCTGCTCATGAGCTCTAATGGGACAATGTAGTACAAAGCACAGCATTTTACCATAGGACAATTCCCCAGTGAAACAAAACATGAAGGAAACTGAGCATCTCACTTTCACTTCTATACTAAGCCATTTAGAAGGACAGTTGTTATCTAGAACTTAAAATGGGAGCCTAACCAACAGCAGAGGTACAATAACATTCCTCATGACATTAAAACGTGCCTGCATCACGCCACCATTCGCTGCATTACACTGCGGCTTTTCTGAGTCTCTCATACAATTTTCATCAAGCACAGATTTAAAATTGCTTTATACAGGTATCATATTAAGAAGATAATCTAGAGACATGATACCAGAAATTGTTGTCAAGAATTCAGTATGACACAGATGGTGAAGAGATTATATCTGGCTGAAAGCTTCAGATAAAGGAAGACACAGGCACACTAGAGAGATCAAAATAATGAAACGCCAACTTTGTTTTAATCACGACTTCCGTAAGGCAGGCTATAACTCTTCTGACGAGTGGATTATGAATATCAACAGAAGAAGCATTAATATTTCTACACCCACCTCTTTCATGCAAATTATTTTGTTTCTTATGCAATAAGGCTACTTCTTGACCCAGGGCCTTCTTCTGCCTCTCCAACTCATTACGTAGCACCAGGATCTTCAACTGTAAACATTCACTCTCCTTTTTCTATCAGGAAAAGACAAAAAAAACAGAAAATTAATTTTTAAAAGCTTTTCTACATTCCATCTTTTCTATAAGAAGGGTGATAAAATGGAAGGGGAAAAATAGGACAAGAATAGCATCTGCAAGATCAAAGCTGAGCTGAATAGATTACCACAGGCAATCAATTACCAAGGACCCTTCTCAGTTTACTGCTCTGGAAGAAGAGAAATTCAGCTCTGTCCTGCAGCACTTGTTCCTTCAACGGGGTGCATCTCCTCTCCTGTGTTCACTGAGGCAACCTGGCCCAAGGCAGAAATCAGGAGGAGAGGTGGGAGCAAGCTTTTGCAAGACAAGGATAAAAAAAAGACTAATAGCAGAGAGCTAACAGCACAGCAAGCATTCCTTGGCAAAGGGTTTGGTAGCAAGCGGGGAGATGAGCAATGAAGAGTCTATACTGAATTGAAGCAGGGAGCTGAAAAAGGCATATCTGAGCTATGCTACTATATTCATTTCCCAATTTCAGGGTGATGAGGAAAGGCTACAGAAGGAAAGAGCACATAGAGCAGGAAATAGATTACGTCATTACACGTAATTACATTTGAAGGAACCTTCCTTTAAAAGTTTAGAATATCTCCCATATCTACTCTAAATTTATTCCTGCATATTTAAAAAGTAGCAGCTTTGTTCTCTGATGCATTTTCTTCATTAAGAAATTGTGCTGCCACATGTGTAATGCAGTAGAATTTTCTTCAATTATAGGGTTTTTTCTTTTCTTTTTTTTTTTTTTAAAGGAAGGAACACATACCTCGTTTTCCAGATATTTATTGAGAGTAACTGAATGTAAATTCAAAATGGATAAGAAATTACATCCATTCAGTCCAGTCATGCCTCTGATAATTCAAAACCTGAAGGGGCATCAATCAGATATACTTGCAAGCAAGCCTGGTGCAAGTACTACCAGACATTGTCTCTTCGTGTAACTCTGTTAAGCTTTCACTTTTTCAAGCAGCTAACAGAGATAATTTTACTTCAACACTAGGTGCGTGAAGAAAAGTCAGCTTTTGCTGAACTTTTCCCTCCACTTCATATTTGCTTCGATTATACATGTACGTTCAGCATTCTGGTTCGAGATTACAGCAGGAAACATGACTCAGTATTAGGGCATGAAACTACAGTTCACACACTTATGAAGAGGCATGGTAGCCCAACAAGAGTTTCCACTACTAAAGAAAGGAACAGAAAAGTAGGTGAGCATTTCTTTATACCACAGAGGATTTTATCAAGAAGTTGCATCACAGGTGTGATCTGTCACTTTGGATTCTTCATATAGTTTTGCCTATGCATATTCATAAAGGAAACCCTTCACTTGGAGGGAGAAGGAAAATTATAATTGTGAGAAGAGACAGTTAAATACCTTTTGACAACAACGAAATCAGCAAAGGTCAAATAAACTCCAGGCTGGAATCACTCAAATGAGATCTTAAACTGCCCCTTAAGGGAGCTGACTTCGTCTACAAGACAACCTTGTGACTGGTGTTGGTAAGCGAACTCTCATTTTTCCGATTTTGTCAATCCCTTAACTCTGTTCGAAACTTCAGGGAATCAGACAAGTACTCTCAACCCAGAATCCACCTTATAGTAGTAAGATACGTCCACATCAACAAGCAGCTTGCCGTTTACTAAGCAAGGCACCAGATGCATGCCAGTGGGTGCCAATATAAGCTTCTATACGAAGTCACACGAGCAGTTCAGCCCTGTCAACTCATTGCTTTGAATTAAGCTCAGCTCTTCTGTGAGGAGACTACTGCCACTGTATTTTTTGTGTTTGTGTTCTTTTGGGGATGGGGAGGGCAGGAGAGGAGGAGCAAGACAGGTAGAACACTAAACGTAAAAAGCCATTGCAAGATCTAACATAATATTTAAAATGAATGTGTCACTTCAGTGAAAGCTTTTACATGAATCCCACTCTCCCAAGAGGAGTAGGATACAAGAAGATACAGCTAGTAGACACTCCCCATTAAATCCATCATAGGTTCTCTTTTGGATTAATCCAAATCATTAAAAGTTGGTCTTTCCCAATAAAATCTTTCATTCATTGTGCAATGCCTATGCTTTTATAGCATAAAAGCAATTTACAAAATAATGCTAAAATAGGATAAGCAATTGATTAATTTTTCTCAGGAATATACATAAATCTAAAATCCATTATGTTGCACTTCTCAGGTAAGTTCCCACTCAAAATGGTAGGGTTAAATCAAAGTTTTAAAAAAAGGCAAGCTTTTGGCCAAGACATACCAACTATACACTTCAGAAAGCCTGTAGAATAAAGTTTTACATAACAAACCTACCAGTTCGTTGCTTGTAGATGTACATCTCAGCTTTTCTTCAATCTCCCTTCCTATTTTCTGAACAGTTACCTGAGTCTGTTTAATTGCACACTGGGCTCTGTGAAGCCTGCAAGGAGAAGACAGATTATAACTGTACTAAGATTCCCCACTTGCATCCTAATCACGAACGTGCCAGTTTCCTCAAAAACAGCAGAGGTAGCATGAATTCAGCTTATCAGCATCTTCTTTGAAATGAAACAAAGTGGAATCATCAATTGCACAGCTCATAAATAAGGATCCAAAGTGAAGCAGGAAGTCTAAATTTTGTCAAGTACCAGATGTCCTTTTCATCCACTAAATTCATTAGAGGCCAAAGATGCAGAGCTGCAGGTGAGATTGTGGGTAATTATAGGGTTCCCACGTAATACCTAGTAAGTTGCAGCAGGGTTGATAACATCAAGACATAAGGATAAATACACGGCAGTTACAGTGAGCACTACTAACAAAAAAAAATAGACAATCAAAAATAAAATAAAATAAATAAAAATAAACTAAAAAGCAGGAATCTTTTAGATAACATAACATAACAGCCATTCTCGCCAAGAGCATGAACCACCTTTAGTATTTCCAAATATGCTATGGTCCCCTCCGAAATGAAATGATAAACTACTTAATTAAATCAGGTTTTGAGTAGGGAAAAGAAAATGATTATGCATTTATGAGCACCTAGTTTGACTTTAGGGTGAAGAACGAACTGAGTAGTCACTATATTTATCAGAAAAAAAGATACCCAGAGGACAACAATGGCAATGCACCTCTGGAAAAGCATTAATGTATATCTTAGGACTAATGAGTACTGCAGTGGAACCTAGAACTTAATGTATCATTTGCAGGAAAAGGAAGCGATCCGAAGATGTAGAATATGGCTTTCAAGGCATGCAAACACAGGTGTACTTTTCCATTCACAGTTTCTTAATTGTTAATGGCTTCTCCTTTCATAAGAACATTCTTCAGGCAGCTTTGCTACTAGAGTAAGTATTTAACTCAACTGAAGGTCTAGTCAGAACAGCAAGAAGGGGTCAGCGGATAACCTATTGCATGAAAAGTGTGTTTTGCTGGGCAAACATCTACGTAGCAGACCAAGCCTCTGAGTACATTTCAATGACCATTTCTGTCAGCCAAAATTAAAATCTCCCATCTCTGTCGCTGCATAGAAACGGTTACTAAAAGCAAGGCTAAGAATTTGCTAAGAACCAAGGACCAAAGCATTACAGCATACAGAAGAGGTTGCTCAGCTCCTTCCTTTCACATTGCCTAGTCTCTTCCAGCTTTATCCAAGTAATGGAAGTACTGCTATTTAAAATTTTAAGTGTTCTGCCTGCAGCTAGAAGATAACCAGGCATCATGCTTCATGTATGAGTAGCAACAAAGCTTTATTCCTTCTCATATTATCCCCTTTCAGCATCCCATCTCTGCCCAATGGCACGCATATTACCTATTAGTCTCACACTGCAACCAGCATGAGACGAGTACTTAAACCATCCAGCCCATCAAGCCAATAAAGCAAGACGAGCTAGTATATGGATAGAGAAAAACTAATACTAGGAATATTAAGCAAGATCATTATCATTTAGGACTTTTCTAAATGCATTCACTCTGAGTTTATAACTTAGAACAGATACCCTTTAGCTCCTTGGCACTATTGCTTCTCCTGTACTCCTTTTACTTCCCATTCTCTGTAATAAGTTCTTGTTTCAAATTACACCAAATGGTTCCTTCAGTTTCTTTACAGGTCCTCAGACTGCTCATAGCAATGCAGACTTGTCACTCCACCATTTCAAGTCATTTGAGGCCTTCAAAATTTCTTTCCACCTCTTTCCTTGAACCGGTCCAAAATTCTTATTACTTGTAAGAGGTTTCCGAAACTTTCTGCAGCTTAGCACACTAAAGTACATCCAGAAATAGCTTTAAAAAAAATGAAGAGAAAAAAACCACAACCATCTAAATCAAGCAGCATGGCTCTGCTGGCTGTTACAGCAAAAAAGGACTGCTGAGGCCAACACTACTGAGTTACCCAAGGGCTCGATCTCACATCCCCTCTGGAGCAGCAAGACCTCACGAAAATGCTGATGTCCGACTGAGAACTACATCTAACACCTCCCACCCTCAGGAACGCCTCTCAAGGTTTTCAGTAATTTAACCTACAGTACAAAGGTCAGAGTCAAGGTTTACCACCTTCCTGAACATCACTGAAAGCTCTGCTGTCACATCATAGAGCAGGCTCTTAAGTTTCAGTAGTTTCCAGCTTGCTCTTTCCCGAAGGTCTGGAACATTTTTTTTTCCAGACAAAGTCTAACTCAAAGCTCAAATAGCTAAGACTTACAGGGAAAGACTAACAACAGTGAAATTCTTTCTTTCCCCTTCATCTAATTTTGTACTGGAAGAGTATTCTTTATTTAGCCTTTTAAGTGATTAAGGACGAGGCTCGGTAAAGTCTTCGAGACATGCCACTGCAGTAGCAAAAAAAAAAAAAAAAGTGAAAAAAATGGTCAAAAGTGTTTTCCCAGTGAAAGAGTATTTACATAATTGATATAATCATTACAGGGTTGTTAGGCAAGTTCCTCACAGTGATTTGATCAATACTCAGCTAACAACCTACAACAAACGTTATAACAAGTTCAAGTACTTCTACCCATGCCCTAGCATAAGGTACAGACATCTATTGAGAAGTTCTTCTTAAATTAGGACATGCCTGAAGATATTTCTTCAATGTGATGAATATAGCTCTCTAAAGGTATATTCCTAGACACTGTTACATAGTATAATGCAATAATCAAGAATGTTTTCGTTAAGAAATATCATCCAGTCATTCCCTGCAGTGTAGAAAAAGGCTACAGTTAAACAAGGCTCTTGTCATGCCAAACGGTAGTGCCATTTACATCGAGTCACCCAGTATCAACAAGTCTTCATTCTTGTAACCCCAGTAGGTTAACTGTTGTCCCGAGAACTTTAAAACGGTAAGAGTAAGGTCATGTCACACCTGAAGTTAAGCTTTCCAAAGTTAAAAATTTCGGGACATCCTGTCACAAAAGTAGCAACTGTCAACAAAAATTTCCCTCCCCTACGCTAAGAGCCCCCACTGTACCCTCCTGGCAGCCTTTGGACATCCAAAGGAAACAAACTAAACCCCAAGAACATCCGTGTGGAAATTCTGTGCATCACTTCTGCTTGCACAAGACAGACTTCAGTGGAATCCATTATGATTACGCCAATGAATGGAGATCAGCAAATTTAGGCTGCAAACTTGGATTAAAGTTTGGATACAATTAACGGATACAAGTTTCAATGCTAATTGACTGCATACCGTTTCCATTGCTAGTCTGAACGCAAGTCCAAAGCTACAGCCTAAAGTTAGCACAATTTGTGCTTTCAGTACAATCCGCCTCAGTTTAGTAATTGACGATTATGAGTCAACCGATGGCATAATCTACATGCTATCAGCCAACACAGGATTCTTCTTACACCGTTCAAGTTTTTTTTTTTTTAAATAATTAAAATTAGCACTTACAGAGCACTTTTACAGCTAATTCACAGCTTCAAGAGGCCATTGGCCTGCTACCAAATTTCCTTCAGCAGTAAGGAAAGCCAAGACAATTACAGCAGAAACTTAAGACTTTTTAAAGAGACAGCTGAGCCAATAGTGTCGTCATGCAGCGTCTGCAGGCCGTTCTAGCGTCGCTGCAGCAGCTAATAGCCATTGTCAGCCAGCATTAGTGTAAAATGAACATAACTGTGGCAAGATTTACTGCTGTTGCTTGAGCCCCCAAAGAGCTGCTGTGCAATTGTCCAAGATCAGGTGAGTTCTACACTGCTGCCTGGGAAAGCACTGAAAAACCAAAGCAGAGATTCAAACTCTTTACAGAAGGCGGCCTCTTATAATACTTTGGAGGTGCAGCTCTGTGAAGCTATTGTCCCACCTCCATCCTCAGATCACTTGCTTTTGGAGATGAGGGAGACTAAGAGGTAACAAAACACCCTCCCTTCCAAAGGAAGTTTGAAAGGCAATGGGATATATACAAAAACTTTAGCCAAACACTGTAATCCAGGACCAAAAAAGCTTCATCCCAATGATCTATCAAGAACCTGCAGGCAGAAATTCAGCATCCCTCTCCTCTTCACTTGCTAGCCCACATCTCAGCAACTCAGGAACTATTTGGGAATTTCCTTCTAACCAGTAGGAAGGACTAAGTCTGAACTGAAATCCCCCCCCCCGCAATGACTTTCTACCTTGGCTGTTAAGATTTGACACAATTCTAGCACACAAGAAAAAAAACTTTTTGGCCAAGAAAAAGTTGAGTAATTTTGTACCTTCATGCATCTTTACAATTGGACTTGTTTTTGTTATCAAACACACACAGGTACGGATTTGAAAAAAGAGGTGCCAAGTTTCGGACTTCATCATTACACGACTTCTTAACAATAACCTCCTCATCTGGTTTGCAAGATCAAGCGTTCTTTCAAACTTCTCAAAGGCTGTGGAGTGCAATAGTCTGAAATATCTTGGCTTTACAACTCAGGAACCGGCTGTAACAACACATTTGCTCTCTTTCAGCTTGCAATTAACATATGAAGGTTCAATTAACCTGCCTTCCTTTAAGAGGCACTGCAGTATCCTGAAACAAAGATGTCCTCTCTTGATCATGAATTATCCCAGTGATCTACTTTATTCAGTAAGTACTTTCCAGGCTGCCATCTTTAAAACTAATAATAATAGGCGCCATCTGCGACAGATTATGCTAAATACTTCATGTAGTAAAGCAACTGAAAGCTGGAGTGTAGTCACAGTTGTGCCTATTAAGCTAACATATGCTTACATTTATATTAATGATAAAATCTCAACTTTATTAGACATTTGACAAACAACTATGTAGTTCTATCATGTATTCCAAATATCTATTTGTTTCTAATAGACACATCTGGATTTTTCATGAACAAAACTTTAAGCCGTAAATACATCAATTAATTACAGCAGTAACATGCTACAGCTACTTCCCACAAGAAAAATAAGTGCCTATGGTCATATTCGCCAGAACAATATTAGCGAGCCTAAATTTAAACTGAGGATTA